CACCCCCATCCCGCACTGCAACTCCCACCCTCCGCCCTGGGGACACGCCCGCTCCACCCGCCTGGGCGCTGTCCTGGAGACCCTTCCTGGTGGCTGCGGGCTCCATGGAGGTTCCTAGGCGGGCAGCGTGGGCGGTGAGCAAGCGGAGATGCCCAGGGAGCAGGTGGGTCGGTAGGTCAATGATCACCAGGGATGAATGCGTGAGAACACGGGATGCAGAGACGCGCGGTGTCTCACAGGTTGGTGAATCAGAGCAGGCAGCGTGTCCTGGCAGAGAGCACACAGGGCTGGTAGTGAAAACCCGAGCCTGAGTCCTGGCCCTGCCGCTCCTTAGATGTCACTTCACGCTGACCTCTGACCTCTCTGGGTCTCAGTTTCCTCCTTGTCAAAGCTTGTGCTCCAGTGTTCAATCCGCATAATCAGGAAAAGCCGATGCCATCACTGACAAGTGAACATCACCTTAGAGATAGAACTGATGTTAGTATAAATGAAGCAACCTGTCACTTTCATTTCCAGTAGGAATTGGAAAGATCCCCCATTCATTTAAATCCAGCCCATATTTCTTATTCTTTGCAATTAAAGATAAGTTGGGTGTCCTCAATACTGTTATGGCTCCTAGAGTTGAGTTACTTGATTTTAGGTTGTGAAAATGAAATTCAACTTTTCAGATTCTTTCTGTGACTTTTATATTAAAAATTTTAATTTGGAAAAATAATTTGGGGTAATAATGAAGTTGTTTCATTTCCAAGCATAAGCAGATGTTTTACAAATTTCATGACTGAGATTATTATTGGAAATTAATAGTCCCGTGCATTTATGTTCCATAAAAAGATTTTTGGAACCCTTGGCCACATGTAATCCAAGTACTTTCCATACAAATTAAAATGTAAATTAAAACATTACAGCTGAAGCTAACATGCTCTTGATAACCTCCATACATAGGCCCCTCCTCTGTCTAAACAAGGTATCCACTCACCACTTCATGTTTCTTTCGCAGCGTTTCCTATGCATTTACATGCACATATGTGGACCCACAAACATTTAACATAAGTGATATGATTGATTTTATATGTATATATTATGTTATATGTTATATGTTTGTTATATGTTATATGTTAATATCCTTTTGCAACCTATAAATCTGTCCATGTCAGTATTTAAGATAGATCTATCTCTTTTTTTTCTTTTTTGCCCCCTTGCATAGTTTTCCACAATATGAATATGCCAAAACTATTTGGCCTTTCTCTTATAGATTTACAAAACTTAGGCTATTTAGTGTTTTACATTTTATAAGTTTTGTAATCCATGTAATCTCTTCATGGAGCTGGTTTTAACCAATGTATTTTGCATAGACTAGGAATGTGCAACCCTGGTAGCTCAGTACTTCTGGGGATAATGGATGAAACTCATCCAAGTCAGTGTAGATTGTCTACCAGCTTTAATCTAGGAATAGATAAATCCAACAAGCAAAAAACCTCAAGGAGATGTATGCTATGGGAAGGCTTGGGGGAAAGGTCCAGAGCAGGGTTTGCACATCCTTCTAAACTCAAAAAAAAGAAAAGGAGATATATATTAGAGAGGAGTGGAGAAAGAGAAGGGGAATCACATGTGTATAAAGATCAGCCAGGAAAAGTGTGCTCTGTGATTATACAACCTCTAATTAGACTAATTTTCAATTATATTGTCATATTCCCATATTATTATTTTTTACTGATTTTTTTTAGAAAGAGCGGAAGAGAGAGGGATAGAGAGATAGAAACATCGGTGAGAGACGTCATCAATTGGCTGCCTGCTGCACACCCCCCCACTGGGGATCCTGCCAGCAACCCAGGCATGTGCCCTGACCAGGAATCAAACCAGCGACCTCTTGGTTCCTGGGTCAATGCTCAACCATGGAACCCATATTATTTTTTACATGTCAAACTTGAGATAACAGTTTATCTTTCCTCTTTTGGCCCTAAAAGTCCAGACTGGGCAGAAACATGGCAAGCAAATACCAGGAGCTGAATAAGAGCTGGATTTAGGGAGGATACTCTCTCAACAGAATTAATTTTTAAATTTAAAAATGTAGGTTGAATTAGGAAACATTTCAAACTAACAAGAAGTGATGTGACAGACACCATTGTATCTGTCCTCAAGAGTAAGCAGGCATGAATAAGCTTTAACCTGTTTGCTCTCACATTTCTCCCCTTTAGGAAAAACAATGTATAAATAGAGAAGGTCACACACACAGTCTTTACTCCATCTCCCACCCCCACGAAGTGTGCACACAGCTGACCATGGGTTTGAACTGTGAGTCCACTAATTTTTTTTTTTTTTAATAAATGGAACAGCCCTTCCTATTCCAGGGTTTCACGTCCTCGGATTTCCTATCAGCAGATTCAACCAACTGTGGATCAAAAAACAACAGTATTTCCTCATTCCCAACTGCACATGGAAAATACTGTTTTCCAGCAAAGGTTGGTTGAATCCACCAATGCACAGGGCCAACTCTAGAGTGTATATATATATATATATAAAATTTTGCCATTTAAATGTGCAGAAAATATTTTATTCCAGTCTTCGATTTATCTTCTCATTTAATTACTGGTACCTTAATGTATAACATTTTTGTCTACTATAATCTCAAACTTATCCATTTTTTTCCTTAGTATTTTGTGGTTTGCATCTTTTGAAGAAATCCTTTCCTTCCCTGGTATTATAAAAATGTTCTCTTTTTTAAAAAAAAAGTTTTACAGTTTAACTCTTTTACATTTAGAACTTTTAATCCTGGAATTGTTTTCTACTTATAGAACATGATTTCATCTTCTCCATAGAGGTAGCAAATTATCCCAACACTACTTATTGAACAGTCCATTCCTTTCCTCACTGTTTTGTAGTATTACATCTGCAAACATGTGTAGCAAGCACTCATTCATATTTGAGTCTATTTTCATATATGGGTGTGTTCATTTAGGGATTTACTTTCTCACAATGGTTTAGGGTTTTCTGTTTCTTTACTTCCAAAGTATTTCATATTTTATCACTACTGTAAATAGCATATTTTGCAAAACTTAATAGTCTAACTATTAAAGATAGAGCAAAACACAGTTGAATTTTGTATTTTAACTTTAATAAAGCAACTTTGAATAGTTGAAATGCATTTAAGGCTAAAAAGTTTCCTCTAAAATACTGCTTTAACTGCACTACACACATTTTCATAAGCACTATTTTAATATCACTAAATTTAAAAATCTTTTCTAATTGATTTATTTGTCCTATGTGTTATTTAGATGTTTATTTCTTTTTAATACCCCAAAGTATGGGGATTTTCTAGTTATCTTTTTTATTGAATTGTGGTAGAGATAATATTCTGACTTCATAGATTTCTATGTAAATCAATTAGATCAAGATTTTTGATCATGCTATTAAAATTATAATGTATGTGCACATGTGTTTCTTAATATTTCCTACTCAGTGGATATTTAATCTGAGATTCTATACTTTTCATCAAATCTTGAAAATTGTCAGACATTTCTTTTTTATATTTCTCCTTTCCCACTCTACTCCTCGAGTTCTTAGTATGCATGCTGGACCTTCTCACCTTTTCCTCCAGTTCTCCTAACTTCTTATATCAGATCCCTTCCAGATGCTACTCAGCTCCTCTTGGCCTCACTTTGCTCCTGGGTTGTGGGGACTTACTTCCCCAGCTTTCACCTTGGCCACAGACTTGAGACAGACACAGCCTGATGGCTCCTGTAGATTCTATCTCATGGCTTCTTATTGTGCTCTAGAAATGTAGGGAATTAACACCTACAGGGCAAATCTTTGCCCAGTGGGAGACAGGAGCCATTGGATGAAATTCTCTCCACAGAACAACTGTCATGAAGTATGAGGGTTTTGCAGACTCCCGATTAGACCAATTACCAGTTGTACTTGAGATCAAGTTGTAGCATTTTGAGCTTTTGTTTTGGTGCTGCTTCCCTCCAGGCTGCATTCTATGAAACATAATCATACCCGTCTTTTAATTTTTAATTCTCTCTCCTGTTGTTTGTAATTTTCAGATTTTTAAAATCTACCTTAATTTTCAATAATAAAAGAAAACTCTAGAACCATTCGATATGGGTTGTGCCTAAATATCTGTACAACTTTTTCTCCAAAAAGTTAAGATGGTTGGCCCTGGCTACAAATGCTTAAAGCTATACACATTACCATTTGTATATATTCAATTATATTGCCCCACTATCAAAGTATGAGGAAGTTATGTGCATAAAGAATTAAAGAAACATTACCAAAACAGCAAACACTTGGAGAAATGAATGTAGATAAGGAGCGATGTATTACTAAAAACCAATATGGCACACCTCACCTTTCTTGTTCAACTATAAACTAGGTATCACTAGAGTTCAGCCAGGTAGCAGGTTCAGTGTTACCTTAAACCAGTTACCTCCTGAAAGAGCCATATTTTTGTTATCTGAAAGTGGTGGTACTTTATGTATTGTAGATAAAGTATTCAATACAATGCCTGGTACAAAGTAAGTAGCCAGCTTTTATATTCTAGCTATAATTATTTGATTATTACTATAAAAAGCAGGACGGAGAGAATGGGACAGAGACTTAGACATGTGGCCAGGTGTTGGGGATTCACTGAAAAACTAGACAGTCTGCATCCCTGGCCATGGTTAGGAGTCTAGCAGAATAGGGCAGAGAGACAACAGCCCAGCAAACAAATGTGCAACTAGATCGTGGTGCCTGCCAGGATAGAATGGGATATGGTGACGGAGAAGGTGAGATTCTACCATAGCTAGAGGTGGTTGGGAACAGCTCTCTAAGGAACTGGCTCACAGGCTAAG